CTTTTTCTTTTTGCCTTGTACGGCGTCTCTGGAGGGACGCCGGCTCTTCCTTCTCTCGAAAAAGCGCGTGCTTGCGAGCGGCTGCTCCTCAGGCACGTCAAATAGGTTAATTAATTAAAAGATGCTGCTACTGGTAAAAAAGTGGATGCTATACGCTGACTCGACCTATATAAATGAATCCTGTCAACTGGTTGAGAGCCTACGTGTTACGCCTACGTGCGACTACTGGCTAAAAAAGTAAAGAAAGCTTTGAAGTACTGGGAAAACAAAAACTTGCCATAATTTTAACTGTAACCACTTCGTCCACACCAATCTCGCATTATTTCGAACAAGCATTTCTATATAATTAAAATCCTTATTTCTTTGTCCGAGAGTAACCCATTAAGATTCAAAAGATTTATTTTAAAATTTATTTCTTGCCTGAATATGTGAGTTCCAACGCCAAAAATGATAAGCTACGCAGAATAAATAAAATAATACGAGATAATTTTACGCTGTAAATATGAAAATTCATTATAATTAAATCAGCATGGCAGCGAGAAAATGTTATGCAAACTCAAATCTAGCGACCTGGTACTAAGCCGCTTCTGTCTCTAACATTACGTTATAATGCTGGGAGAACTAAAAATACCAAAAAACTCTTTTCATACACGTGTAGTAGCTAGAGCAGCAGCCACGCTGCAAGACCAGGTCTGCAAGCTTGCGTGCATATGTACATCTGTGTGTGCGTACTTCGCTCGGTTCGTCCACCGCCAGCTCTCTCTCAGCTGCTACTCCTGCTGCTGCTGATGTAAGCATGAAATTTCCCAATCTAGGAAAAAGCATCCAGTAACTCAGCAAAAAACATTTTTATTAATTTTTTAAACGGTTCTTTTTTAAAAGTATGTATAGATCAGGTAAAGGAAAATACATAATTAATCTACCAATGAAAAGGATAATTCATGTTTATTTTTGGATATCAAAAAAGGCTTTCTAGTTGTCTAGTTAGAGCTTTATGTACAAAATAAATTACTTGGAAGATAACTCAATCGAATGAAATTAAGTTTTAATTTAGCGAAAAGTTGTTGAAATTACCATTAACCCAATTTTGAATGGTGGTTAAAAAGATAATTGGATCAACTCCTACACAAATCGGTAAAACTTATCTTTGATCACATTGCTCTGTTATTTTAATAAGACAAAGCTAGTGAGTTAAAAATCCCGTAACTTACGAACCGTTTTATTTTAAATGCAGCTTTTTCAATAAACATTTTCATTTAAATATGCAAGCACATATCTAAACATTCTCAAGTTGTTTGATTTGGCCTTGTAAAATAGCTCGCTCGAATAAAAGCTCTACACGCACTCATCTTCTTCTTTTATGTATTGGTTAGTAGAGAGGCCGCAATGAATTACCATAGTTACTTATTCGAGTGAGCGAACCTCGTTAATAAACAGAAGAGCGATCGCGTTAATGCCCCTTTTTCGTTTTTCGTCTTGGTATGGCTGTTGTTTTTTCTCGTCCATTCTCTTATTTTTGCGGATGCGTGCTGAAACTTAACTAGCTTCCCCAGTCTGAGCGTGAAAGGCGTGAGAAAACGTTTCACGCTTACCACGATTTTTTCCGTAACTTTTACACTTGGTGAGTTGATGCACATATCAAATTTATTACTGCGTGATGTTGAATATTTCAGTTGGATATCGGACATATTCGCTGTCATACATATTAAAAATCCAATGATTGAAAATCATCAATATACTCATAAATTCTATTAAATTTGACCTGGAGGTTTGCAACAAATCATAAAAATTGCTTCAAAGCGAATTTTCATAAAGTATGAACTGACTCCCCCTGATTGGAGAAAGGCAACGCAGTACAACATAATGGTTATTATTTTTTAGGTTGAATATAAAAAAATGATGATAAAAAGTAGATTTGCTTGGTATAAACAATCGTTAGGATGCGGTGTCCGTGAGCTAGCGCCCTCGCGCGACTACCTTGCGAAACAGCGTTGAGTTGCAATTACACGCGAGCTTGCTTATTCCAGCATCTACTCGCACTGCAATATTACCATTCTGTGGTCGCGTGCCCTCTTTCAAAGCAGGTATTCATGGAGAAGGATAGAGAGAAGAAGAGAGAGAGAGGAAAGATGGGAGAAGAAGAGGAGGGAGTATTATTACGGTAACGAAGCGAGGCGAAGGTTATATAAGTGGGGAAAAATCACACCGCTTTCTCGCGTGCAAGTGCGCGCACGAACCATCTTTCCTAATTCTTGAAGCAAGTTTCCAGTACGCATCTAGGGATCGCGCACCGAGAGCGGCTCTTGCACCCTGAATAACTTACTCGCTTTCCCACTTTTCCTTGCTTTTTCCAAGTCACGCTGAAAACTACTCCTTTTTTCATATTTTTTATACTCGGTAAAAACATCCGTTCGCTTTTCGTATCGGAAATTATTTACATTAACTTCTTTAACGAATCTAATATATATTTCTTGGAAAATCATTTAAAATGTTTTTCATATTTTCTGCAATCAAGCTATGATTTTCATAGGAGTAAGAAAAATATACATTTAAATTATAATTTTTACATTTTTATCAGTCTTATTAAAATAATATTATAATATTATAAGATAGGATTGGACTACAATATTGGATTAGGTTAGAGTCTCAAATTGTTATATTTGTGTTTTATTTGTGATAAATAATTACATAAAACCGAAATAAATTATTTTTTACTTATTGTAAATAGTTTAATCGTAATATTATTTTGAAGAAAAATGAGTTAAAACTGTGTAAAAAATACTTAAACTAAACAGTAAAAATAACTTTATTTTACACAGTTTTCTGTTTGCAGAAGTTATATTTTGGACCTAATTAAATTATCCGTAAATCTTTTCAGTTATGAGTAATAATGAGTAGTAATGATAAATCAATTGTTGATCAGAGATACGTATAACTTCAGATTTGAAAATTATATTTTAGATGAAGTTTTCACCAATGATAGACTTCACTAATGTAAGCCAAATTTTAATGAAAATTTAATTCAAGGGCTTTTGAAAAATCTTATTGAATCGAGTTGAAATCATATTGGAAACTTGTAGGCACAATAGAAAAGTTGACACGTAGCTAAAAATTCTGATGTATGATCATTTTCAAGTGGTTTGAGCGAACGATAATTGCGATTAATATCCACTCACATTTTGAATACTCATTAAGAAGTAAAGCTGTAGAATTATATGAGATAACCTACTTTTTAAATCTTTTTACACATGCAAAACTTGCAGGTGCGTGTATTTGCGTGTATGTGCTCGTGCGTGGGTGTGATTGTACACATGCGTGTATTGGCATAAAAGATTCTCATCAATACAGCGCGCGCGTGCCACGAAACGAAAAGTGAGAGACGCGCACACCCGTGTGCACTTGCAATCGCTTTTTTATCTCACGTCCGTAAAATCCTTTTTTTTTGCTAGCAGCTGTTTTCGAGCATACTATACGTATTTTTTCCGTAATACGAATTCGAATGACCTATTTCGCGCACGCTGCAGGAATTCGCTTCGATTCTAAGTGTATATGTACGACGCCTTAAGGCTATTTAAAAAATAAAAAAAACAGATATACTACGCATTGCAATTCCTTTTTTCACCTGTATTCTATATCTATAAATTATCAAAAAAAGACAAGCAGAATTTGAAAAAGTGTATTTTATTATTGATATTATTCTGTTAAGCTATTAAAAGTTACAAAGTTCTTTTTTAATTTAGTTAATCATTTTTGTTGACATTAATTTCATTTAGCATTTTGTATAGGGTAGAATAATAACTTGAACTTGCAATGATGGACATTGTCCAACAATCATGTTAAGATCTTTATTTCCAAAAACAGGTTTGAAATATTAATTGAATCAGCAAAAACTTCATTCTAGCAAGCCATTTCTAAATCTTCATTCTAAGTGCTTTCGTCAGCTTTTTCCCTTTACGCATATAGTCGACACGTGTGACCTTTATATACTTACTGAATGTACGCACCCGTCTCTTATGGGTAGGAGGTGCTCTTATTAGAGATGAGGATTTATCGCTAGTAATAACAGGCAAATGCACGGTCTGGATAAAATACAACATTTTTTCAAAGCACTGTACTGTATTCAATTTTTCTTTGTTCTTTTAATAATATTCTCCAAATAGTATTATTTTTCCATTTCTATACATTTTTATGATATTGGTCTTTTTAAGTGCAAGAACAAAATGATTTTGGTATTTTTACTTGCAACGTACGAAAAATGAAAAGCAGTGTTTTTCAATAGTTTTATCTAAAAGTATAAGTATAGAGACAGAAAAGTGAAAATTCATGTGTAATCAATAGCAATCTTGAAGTTTCCAGGAAAGTGCGAGTGATCGGGAATCCTGAAAATAGACATACCACGTTTTGAGTCGAGCTATATTTCAGTTATGCTTCGGTCGCCACTGCTTCTAATTGAGGATGAGCAGTCTATAAATGTACGTCCTCCAGTGCCAGGTGGCTGCTAATTGGCCGGTCAGCACCACCATCATCAGCCTTGGTGGTCCTTACTTTACAGTGCAGTTCTAATTGTCCAGCTCTGACTTGTATTTTGACTAAACATTCGTATACGAAAGGGTGCTGAGCATTTTCGTATTGGAAACGATTTTATTTGGACGGTGTAATTAGTACAATGCGAATGTCTAAACGCGTATTCTATCTGTTTCTAAAAATCTAGTGTAAATTTTTATTCATTCCATTATTTAAAATATTGCTTTTAAATACATTTTGTATGAGGAAATTATAGCGTTAAACTTTTTTTACTCATAATTTGTCTTACAAAGCAATTCAACGAATGAATGAAAAAATGAGAAATAATTTTTACTATATAACGTTTACTTTGCGTTTGATTCTTTCTCAATTGCTCAAATTGAATAATAACGTTTATGTAAATAAAGCGAGGATTAGGATTTAAAGAAAGAATATGGCAAGAAGTGAAGGAAATAAAAAAAATTTTTTAGTCACTGTTTTTATATAAAAAAACATTTATTAAAAATAACTGAGATTTTTTTCGATTCTAAAATACTTATAGATAAAATGTGAGTTTTATCTTTATTTTGGCGGAGGTGGTCGGACACCACCTGGATAATTCCAGTCTTGTATTTCACCCGAACCGAAAATGATGAAAACAAGGAAAGCACCAATTTGACACACAATATTGAGAATAAATATTGGGAGCCAATCATTACCCTGATAAACAAAAAATAATGTTTCATTTAATACTTTTTTTACTCGATAAAACGATTGCACAACTTACATTTTTCACATCTTTCACGAGTGCTCCAACAAGCTTTGGATTAATACATGCTGGCAGAGTACCGGGTGTATTTGTTATACCCATCAAAATACCAGCAAAATTCGGCGCAAGATCGTTTTGATTTGTCAAGTGACCGATGAAAATGGATCCCGAAAATATAATGGTGAGAGTAAGTAATCCAAAACTTAAATATCTCTGTGACTCGTCAAGACTCATTATAATTGGCAGAAGAATAATAGCTGGTATGCAACCTGTAGAAATTAAATTGTGTAATAGTGCGTACAAATTTTTATTTTAAAGATCTGGAATATACTTACTGATAGTCACAGCAATTTTCCTCGCAACAGTTTGTGACCACCATCCAGACTTTCTTCCATAATCGAGAAGTTTTCCGAAACATGAGTTAAATATGGCGCCTAGCAGATAAGGAATCGCAATCAAATTTTTTATCTGGAAAAAAAATTATAGTATAAGTTAATTTCATGACTTCTAATTCAGTACTATCAGACTTGAAATGATGATACCTCTGAATTGTTAAACTTTAAAACTTTAATCATAAACGTGGTCATTTGTGTCAATAAAAAGTACCAGGTGAAATTTCCTAGAGTATTTGTTACAAGGAGAGCTAAAAATGGTTTAGATGTGAAAATAGCTTTCCATGGTAGAGCTTTTTTGCCCGCACTATTTGGAGTTCTGTGACCAAAGCTATTGACAATCAAAGCTCTTTCCTCTTCGGTTATGAGCTTTTGATCTTCGGGAGAGTCCGTAAAGCACATGAAGTACACGAGGCACCAAATCAAGGGCAACACACCGTGAATGTAGAAAACCATTTGCCAATTGCTAAGTTCAATTATCCAGCTCGATGTAAACATGGAAATGACTGTACCAAGAGATGTTCCGGCGTAAATTATTGCGACCCACATACTTTTTTCTTCGTAGACAACCCATTTACCAACGCAAATGTTGACGATCGGTAAATTAGCTGCACTTATCAAACCCATAATAAAACGAATGGCATAAAGAAGTGCTAGAGAGAAAGCGCAAAATGGCACCAGTAACGTCCCGAGAGCATTGGCAAGAACGCAGATCAACAAAACTACTTTTGTATTGAAACTGCAAACAATCATCGATTAGAGTACGAAATTATAAATCATCGATAGGACTGTTAAAAAACTAATTTCACACAATCCTAACACTCACCGATCGGCAAAATAGCCTGCCATAAACATTCCACACATATAACCAGCAAAATAAAACGTAGAGAGGTCCTGCTTATCTTCTTCAGTCCATTCGTATCTCGTTTCCCCGGTTGGCGGTTCAATAAAACTACCATCGGAATTCATTTCTTTTGACATCTGGTGCATGGCTACCGTAATGTTTACCTTTTGCCCGTAAATGATCATGTTGGCAATGCACAACATGATCGCAAACAAATACCGAACTTTTGTGAATACTGCAATTGAAAATTATCAATGTTTAATGTAATATCAGTGAAGCAGTTGAAATACGTTTTGCTACTTACCAGCCATCGTGACAGGATTTTCGGAGCGATCAATTTTGAAATTATTGAGTGGACCTGTTGCGTACTGAAGTAAACCGGCCACTAAACTGTGGCTAAGCAACAGCAGCAGTAGCTGAGCTCCGACGCTTCTTTAATCATCAAGTGTGGGTCATCAGTAAATACTCGCATCGGCCTACGATTCGCTACTATTGTTGACTCGCTGGAGGTTATGCTTGAGAGTCGTCGACTGCGCGGCATAAATCGTTCCAGATTGGAAGAAAAATTCTTGCTTCGATCGAGCCCCTCTTCACTTTATTGATTGTTTCGTTGCTCTGCGTCAATCTGGACGTTGAGCTAGATTTAGTCAACAGATTTTAAAATCGAATGCTCATCAATTGATACTAATTTAAAGAAATGAGACGGGTATAAATGTTGTTTTATTGATTGCGAGCTTGTTATTTTGCTGCATGATTCTGCATATTTCACGTTTTAAATGGAGAAAAAAAATATCAAAACTATTTTCATTACTTTGAACGAAATGATAAGTTAAGTGAACAAACACGATGATTTTACGAGTCTGTTGTAAAACACATCAACAACTTCACACCACATCAAATTATGCTGATAATAATTGATCTATGAATTTTTCAAATATGCGGCTAGACATCGCTTTCCATCAATAATATGTAAAATCAGTCAATCATTCAGTCAATTTATGAATTAACAAATGTGTTAATTCTCGAAAATCTATTGAACATTTCAAAAGAATTTTCACCAAACATTTAAAGAATAAAGTTTAATTTTCCGATTTCAAATTAATTACAAAAAATAACAATAGTGCCTGATGATAAGAGGACACACGCAAAACTTTATCTGCTGTGCTTGCTCATTAGAGCCAAAAAACACTTATATTGTTAATTTCTCGTTGCCCAACGGGGCTTGTGATTTGTTAATAATGATATAAAATTTTGAATGGCTTTTAGACCGCAATTACGACGTTATCAATTACGACCTTTGACAAAAATTTGTATATTTATACAATTTAAATATTTAACTTCATACGCGAGATTTTACACTATCAACACGGTTTGGTAAATAAAACATAACTATCTTATTCAGTTCCGAAATTTTGTATCGTAAAATTTCTATACTTTAAGTTATGTATATCGATTTTTTACTCTTAGAGTATCCCCCTATTCTCACTAATACAGTTTATTTTCAGAATTGGTAAAGCTAAACAGTTCCGAAATACGAGAAGAGAGAAACGAAAACCGAGGTCAAATTGATATGACTCTACTTGGGTAATATTCCAATGCAGCTGATATACAAGTTATTATCGTATCCACGAATATTTACTTTCATATTATTTCGGACAGTGGTGCAGAACTCTTTTCAGCAAAGTTTATCAATTCAAAATTCGTATTTCAGATTTTTAAATGACCGAGTTCCAAGGCATCTTTTATTATTTACACCGATAATTGCAGTAATTAAAATTATCGATCAAGTCTAAAAATTGACGTGTGGCAAGTTCCAAATATTTGATTTGTATGTCACTGGGGGCAATTAGCTGAGATTAGATAAGGAGATATTCGGCTAATCACTTGAAGCAAATATAAAATATCTCACCTATACGGGCGTACTCGGTCAATATTCCAATAGATTTCACATAAACTATTATCAACTATTATCACTGTGGATTTTCACGAGACATTGCCTCGTAATGAGAAAAAAGTCGCGCGTTACAACTAAATCAGCGGGCACGTACGCACGTGACGTATACGCGCTATAGTAGGCGTGAATGACTGGAGGCTCGATCGAGCTAGTATGTGCTCATGCGGCTGTGAACGTGTGAGATCAACGACTGATGCTCGGTTGTCATTTTTACGATTAAAACAACACGCTCCCACACGACACACCATCGTGCGCTCGCACGCACACACCTCTCTTTTTCTTTCTCTCTCTCTCTCTCTCTCTCTCTCTTTTTCTCGCGTGTATCTGTCTCTCTGTCTCTACATCATCGATGTGTACGACGGGTGGCGTATAGATAATTAAATTTTTATAAAGATAAGCCGGTTTCGTACGCAGCAGTCGTTTGCGCGCCTTCTTTCGCGCACATAGCAAGGCGAAGCTGTTAAACTGCTGTTTAGTATGTGGCTCTTCGACTAACGACAGTTGCATAAAAGTCGGACGAACCTGCACGACTTTGTGCTCCATTTGAGGTCTTTTCATGTATGTTCTACGATGGCCCCTGCGCGCACGTTGGTACGCCCGGCATATACACGATGCACACATATTGGGAAGCGCAGCGTTTTCCGGATTGCAGAAACGGAAGTTGCTCGTTATCTCGAACGCTCGCGTTGATGTATTGTTTAGACTGCACGCACACCCGGAAAAGTTTTGCATGTGCGCGCGACGATGAGCCCCACACGCTGATGAAAACAAAATCCAACATCGCGTTTGATGGACGAGCGATCTTTTTGTTTGACATGACTTGCTCGTTACAATTTTCGACGAGAGTTCATTACACTGATTGCTTGGCAGTTTTTTTTTTTTTTTTTTTTTTAACAAATGTGCATATTCCATACGTTGTATTTATTGCTCATTTTAGAAATCGCAAAGGAAATTGCAAGCTAGTTAGATACTTGCAACGTTTCATGAATTTGACCTCGATTTTTTTCGAGTCGCCGCTATTGGTAATGATTAGAATAAAACGTTTATATTTCCAACAGGAGCTGCACAGCACAATATTACATCGAGAACCTATTGAAATAATATCCAATGTTATTTCGAAGTCAACTCGTTAGCGACTCGAGCTAAAAATGTTTATACCGAGATTCGTTAGCGAAATCAGTTGGCGTACCGCAAACTAGTAATAAATGTGCCATCCTGACGTGAGACAAAACTGAGCATTAATTGAGTGGAAAATCCGCCCATTCGCTAACTAAAAGTGCATGCGCCAACGCAAGCATTTTACGCGTCGTTTTCTCTTTCTTCCTTTTTTTGTTTTTTTCGTTGTAGCCGATGTTCTTTCGTGTAGCAGCAACAGTGGCGCGAGACACAGACACACAAACGTCTATTTATACGACTGTTCTTGTGTCACGCGTTGATCAACGCTTCGCAAGCCCGTATATAATCCAGCGTCGAGCTTGTGTTCACTAGGAGCTACGAGGAGACCTCAGTGCACCGTGGAAAGCGTTTCGTATTATCCGCGCCTCGCTCCTATGAATCCAAGTGTTTGTGCCGTACACTACCTAGTGCTGTACTCCGCACTGTGCGCGCATATACTTCTGAGAATTGCGACCCTTACGTGCTCATATATTCTCATAGCTGCTGCTGCTGCTGCCAGTGTAGTGCGCTGTCTGCGAGAGCAGATAGCGAGAAAACTTTCGCGCATGATCTTATTCGCTTGTCTGCGGAGGCCGCGCGCAGTGTCAATTTTGTTGAATTTTTACGCTGGCCGACGAATAATCCATTCGCAAGTCATTGTTCACCAGCTCCGCGAAAGTCAAGCGTTAGCGCATTTAAAAGCAATTTCTCATCGCGCCTTCCATATCCGATTCAGATCAGCCGTCTACATAGTACATTGCCACACGTCGCGAGAGTCGAATGATTTTTAACGTGTGACAGAGCGATATTTATACAATCGAAGAATCGAGCGTGTACGTCGACAGTCCTTTTGGTTTTGATCGGTGTGGCATATGCTCATGAATATTCCGCATCATCGGTCGGTCCTTCGTTGCTGGAGCATTTAATGTCGCCCGCGTACGCGCGTTTAATACATCAATGGACGCATCGTTACATTGCAGTTTCGCGCCCGATCGTCGTCGTGTACGTATTGTAATTTTTTAGTTCGGCTCGGACGAGTAGCCCTCCGGTCTTGATATCACGCGCAAAACTTGATCCGTGCGTATTACGTATACGCATACGCATACTTTCAGAATATGAAACAATAGCGTGACTCGACATACCGATAACCATGCCCCGCCATAAGCTTGTACCAACTGGAGGGCAGCGTGTATTCTCGCGCGTGCGTTCGACGCTTCGACGAATTATATGCATGCTTCTTTACGAACGGACGCTCGCACCTTGCCATCTCGTGATTGATCTACATTGGTTCTTGTATATCGGCGCGATTCGTCTTCGTTGTATAAAGTGTGCAGTAACACCAAATGCAAGAAATAATATAATTTATATCATTGTTAAAAATATTTTAATTTTTTGTATTTATTTTCAATTTTCTACATTTGAAATAAGGAACGTCAATTTCAATTAAATTTGTTAATATGAATTTAATGATATTATCGTTAATACTCGTACTTAGAAATGAATCTAACTTCGTCACATTTACATTAGTAACAACGGTTTTGATTTGAAACATACCTGCTTCTCAAAAAATTCTCAGGTTTTATAAACAAACTGTTCTAATTAAATACTATAATAACCCGAACTTAAAATTTCTCAAAACCTTTCTTTTACTTTCAGATTTACTGATAAAGGTACTCGCCATCTAGTGGTGGATGCTGATTTTAATAAATTGAATTGTACATTTTCATGCAATAAAATAGATGGATTACATTTTCATGTAATTTTTGAGCTATTTTAATGAAAGTGTTTAAATTTGAGTAGATTCAAGTCTTTTTTGTTAATTTTAACTTTAAAATTAATTTATGTGTTTAAATTTTCGAGCATTTTTCATGCACTTTATATAAAAAATATCGTAACTGATAAGTTAATTTTCAATAAAAATTTTATGTACAAGAACATTAATTGAATGTATGTTCATCTTGTGTCATTGCGAGTTGATGTTCAGAAAAAATTTTGAAGGAAAAGAGATAGGATTTAGCCTATATATTATGCAACTTACATCATTTTTATTTTACGGACATTTCCAGGATGATTATGTAACCTGAATAAGTTTATCGCTGAAAGTACACGCTAAATTAATCTATACAGCTTACAGGGCTCGACGAAGGCAAAGAAAAGGAGAAATATGAAAATCATTCGACTGTCGAGCCGGTTAATAGCTTATCGATTGAGCGCTCAGCGAGTGTAATTCGAATTAGAGATCCGCGCAAATAGAAAATGAGAATATGCACTTCTGCGTTCGATGGATATAATAATACGCGAAATGAGTTTTTTTTATCTCTCAGCACAATGTATTCGTCCTTGATCGACCGTAGCTGCGCTAGCCAAGCAATAGCTGATTGGCCGCGTGTCTGGTCAACTGGAGCGCGGAGCTGTTTTGTCATTGTGCTTACCAATTATTGCTCGAGCTAATCGCGAACTTGCTACTCGGGAAACCGAGCAACTTATTTCACAATGAGATGCATTTTATAAATTCGTACGAGTTTCGCACTCTTCGATTCGTCAAATTGAATTTGATTAAATTTAAAAATTGAAGAATTTCAGCGCGAAGCTTGCGCCCGGGGGAGACGCACGAACAATGCGAACTCGCGTTCGTGGGCTGTCTGGCTGTATGGTAGCTAGACCAATGCCACGGTCTTTTATCACGGTCCGTGCGCTATGCGACTCGTGTACTTCATGCGCGACGCGTATAATTCACCGCTAGCGCTAACCCTGCGCTATATGTATACGATGTGTATTATGGTGTGTGCGTGCATACGGGGCTTGTGCACGTGGCTGCATATAAAAGCCTGGCAGCAGCAGCAGTATGCGTCTAAGCGCGCGCTACAACGACGTGAATTATCCTCGGTGTATTTCTCGAGAAATCGTATAAAGCGTTTGTTGCGAACTATAAAAGATATACACATAATACGCGCGCGGGAGGGCACGTATGTGCGTGCGAGTATGCTGCACTGCAGTCGAGCTCGGTGCTTATGCGCACATTAGTCGCATGCTGTATATTATACCTATTCGTTACTGCAGTTTTCATACGAGAAAAGGAGGATGATAATAAAGCGAAAACAATGATCTATGACTTTTGATTCTTGAAAATATATAATGCCTACTTTCTTAGCTTGACTATTGCATTGTGATCTAAGACTATGGACCAACGGAAATGCAGCTTCGCACATCTCTAGTGTGTTTATTTTCATCAATTATAAATATGTATTTATATTTGCCATCTCTTAGAAGCAAATATTGCCAAGATAACTATTGCTTTTGTTATTAATGATTTTAAAGCTTATCAGTTTTCTCTTATGCATTGAGCACTTGAAGAAAGCTGACAATCATCTAATCGTTTGTTGACTTTATGCACTTCACTTCTTTTAATGTTTGTCTCAAACAAATTACTGAATTGAAATTTATTAAATAGCTGCTCTTGAAACGCGTTCGATTACTTATATTCAACGAAAGTATAATGGCAAAAAAATTGTCAATTTTCCACTTCCACTTCCGTGTGTCGTTATTTTGATTCAAAATTAGGATAAATTTTTTTGCTATTATTTGACTCAAATCGATTATCTTCACACTTAAGTATGTTATTATATTTGAAGTACTGAAATATTCACAATCACTTGCTTCTTTTCATAAAATGCAATCTCAAAGATCCATGCAATAAAATGATCTTCCATCAATTACAAGCGCTTATAAAAAAGTTTTAGGGTTATAATTCGTTATTCAGAATTTTTCTAACCATACGCAGAATCGCACCTTTTTGTCACGTCACCCTCATTTTATTATAAACAATTATAATATTCGTAAAAATAATGTATATTAAAATAACGATAAACATAAAATTTCACTCTACGAACGGACGCGCCAGCCTCAATCTACGGGATCTGACGACATCAAGCTAAGTGAAAAACAAAACTATAAAATTGGTAAAAACATCGAGTTCTATGAAAAGAACATCGAAATCTAC